GTATTTGCTTTCCTTCCTTCTCTGTTGCATAGGCGGGCGTTTTTCACGGAGGGGGAGGGTGTAAACCTGACGGCTTACGACGCACTGATCACACATTACTTACTTATCACATGACGGACTCTCTCTTGATTCCTTACCATCATCTTGTACCGATACTCTGCTTTTCTTATCAAACTCTGGTCCTATTCTGCCTTGGTCTGAACTCTAGTGTAGCTCCACCATCTTTTAGACGGTGAGCTTCCACTATGCCATAGGTCAAAATTTGCCAATCCTAGTCGAAATGTACCAAACAGCAATCCCTTGGGCTTGATTGCCGTCATTCTGCAATAGGCTGAATTTTTGGATACCTCGCTTTTCATGTTTTCATTGCCTTTGATGTTATTGAACAATTATACGCCCTATTTGGGCGTTAGATGTCAATTTCGACGTTGCACATCGCTGAACTTTCGACGGTGATGTGTATGTCACTGCGTCACGACCGTGACTTTCTTGCTTTTCCAGGACCACATTGGACGACGAGCTCTGGCCCCTCGGGCGCTGTTCCTCAAACGTTCCCGGGGCCACAGGAAGGGCTCCAAATTTGTGTTTGGCTCTTTGAGTTCGAGGTGAGTGCTCGTTCGCTGGCTGCAACACCGTGTTTTGGCTCCCTTGCACTAATAATGGAGCTTGTGGATAGGCTGGCGCCGCTCCAGCTTGCGCCACACTCAAGCTCGGCGTCGACCGTTGTGGTGTGTGACGGGCGTCTGCGTGCTAGAACGAGGAGATCTTCTTGGTGCATCTTTGCCCCTGTCTTGTCCTTTTTTCTGCCCATTGCCCACCCCGACTTCAGGTGGATGGGGAACCTTAGGCATCCTCCTCAAAGCCGCCATCCCTGCCATCCCTGCAAGTCGTTGCCGTTACTTGGCCCCTCAAATTGATGACATGCTCGCTGATCGTGCTCCAGGGGCACGAGTCAGCGGCCGATGCGATAAATGTGGCTGATGTGAGAGCACGATAGCAATGGCGATAGAGCTCCGACCTGGCCTCCGTTTTCACAGCATTCATAACGGAACAATGCGGGTAGGAATGCAGGCGCAAGGTGCGTCTCTGTTATGCCTACTCTCCCCCCCTTTCCTTCTCCACCCATTAACAGCCCCTCTAGACAGTGTTTCCCTCACCTTTTACCTTGTCCCACGCTCGTCGCTCGTCACACGGCCCTCGGCGGCCACAAACACGTCTCCGCACCTGACACAGCGCTCATCTGTACATCACTGCCCCAACCGCCGCTCAGCGCGCAGACCTCGTACAGGGGCACGCGATCGTTACTCTGCGTGATGCAACACTGTTGCCATGCCACGAGCATGGTATGTGTAACTGGATCCGGAACGCGACAAAAGACATTATGTGTGTGTTAGAATATACACCCTAAAATATATCCAATTGTAGGAACAAAACAAAAGACGTCCTCGTTACTGTGCGTGTCGGCCCCACCCCCAAGTAGATGTGTTCAATATCCCAGGAAGGAATAAAAAAAATTCAACCAAAAGTTCAAAGCAATATACAAATGCCTTTGGGGGATTCAAACCCCCATCTCCTCAGGATTAGATTGTTTGTTCTGAGCCAATATATGCTTCCGATACGATTCAAACCCCCGTCTCCTCGATATGCAACATGTATGATTACAGCTCTTTGCGGAACTCTAGGCGGGGCCGAATTCTTTCCATTTCGGGCCGTTTTTGATCGTTTTTCTTATTTCCCTTCCTGCGGCCTCAGTTCTTCACGGATCACCTCAATTTCCTCGAAAATGGATTCTCAGAGTAAATTCACGTCTAGTGATGTTCTCGAAAATTTTATTTACATCATTTACATCTTGTAATATGAGATCAGGCTGTTTTGACGTTGGCAGCCCCTCGCTCGGGGACGGTGACCTTAGCGGCACTTTAAAGGGTTACTGGCACCGATATAGGACGTCTCAAGAGCGTGATGGTGTCGGATTTGTAATAATTCACCCAGGTATGTGGCAAACCAGTGTTATTCCGGCAGAATCATGGATTTGGAAGGCAAGCAGAACTCAGTTGTTCCCTCATGCCCTATGCATGGATATTTCTACTATCAGAGCATAGCAAACACATTCACTCTCGGAAGGGGGTGATGTAGCCGCTTTTCTTCATTTTTCATATATGGGTTCTCGGGATGTGTTTCAAAACAGCGGTGTGTTACATGTTACACGTGATTGTGACATTCGCGTCATTTTAAAACGCGTCGCGACGATGCATACATCGAAAATAAAGAAAAGTGGCGACATCACCCTCTTTAGCGAGTCAGTCCATTGGCTAGATTCCGGAAGTAAAAAGATCTACACATAAGGCACGAAGGAACAGCCAAGTTCTGCCTACTGTGCACAAAGGTGAATTCTGATGCAAGAATGCTAATTTCCGCTGTTTCTGAGGGTATCAGCCAAAATCGAAACACATCACGCTCGTTAGAATGGTAATATTGGTTCTCAGTACACGTATGAGAAACACTGAGGGCACCGTCCCCGAGCTAGGGGCTGCTGACGTCAAAACAGCCTGATCTCATATTACAAGATGTAAATGACGTAAATAAAATTTCCGAGAACATCACTAGACGTGGATTTACTCTAGGAATCCATTTCCGAAGAAACTGAGGCGATCCGTGAAGAGCTGAGGCCGCAGGAAGGGAAATAAGAAAAACGATCAAAAACGGCCCGAAATGGAAAAAAATCGGCCCCGCCTAGAGTTCCGCAAAGAGCTGTAAATAAATCGAGGCGATCCCCAAGATCCACAAACACTCTTTCATCTTCGTTTCCGGCTCGGAAAGATGTGCTCAATATCCCAGGAAGAAATAAAAATTCCAACCAAAAAAAGAAGCACCTCGCAACTTGCCTATGCCTTCGAGGGGATTCAAACCCCAATCTCATCAGTATTAGATAGTTTGTTCTGGGAACAGGTCAAGGCGATCCCCATAATCCACGAAGGCTTTTCCATCCCAGTCCTTGTCCTCGATAGATGCGCTCAATATTACCAGGAATAAACAAAAATTTCAACGAAAAGTTTGAATCAATATACGAAATACCTCTGGGAGGATTTGAACCCCCGTCTCCTCAATATGCAACATATATGATTGAACAGGTCGAGGTGATCCCCAAGATCTACAAAGACTTTGCTATCTTTATTTCCGGCTCCTATAGATATGCTCAGTATTGACCAGGAAAGGGACAAACATTTCAACCAAAAGATTGGGACTGTGTACACATACCTCCAGGAGGATTTGAACCCCCGTCTCCTCAGTGTCTATATAAATGTACTCCAAACAGGCTGAAGTGATCACCATGATCCACAAAGGCTTTTCTGTTCCCCTTCCTGTCCGGTAGACGTGCAGAATATTTACCAGGAATAAACCAAAATTTCAACCAAAAAAGCAATCACAATATGTCTATTATGCCTTCGAGGGGATTCGAACCCCCACCTCCTCATTATACCTATTACAATATCGCTTTAACAAGTTCAGGTGATCTCCAAGATCCACAAAGGCTTTTCCATCCTTGTTCCTGTCTCCAATAGATGTGTTCAACTTACTGGAATAAAGCAAATTCCAACCAAAAGTTTCAAGTAGTATACGAAATGCCTCTGGGAGGATTCGAACCCCCACCTCCTCGGTACATATCGAAAGCAGTAGAACAGGCCGAGACGATCCCCAGGATCCACAAAGGCTTTTTCATCCTTGTCCCGGTGCAGAATAGATAAGCAGGCTCGATATTTACCAGGAAGTAAAAAAACACCCTCTATCCAAAAGCATGCCTCCGGGAGGATTCGAACCCCATCTCCTCAGTATATTGCCTGTTTTCATGGTTAACAAATCGAGGTGATCCCCAAGATCTACGAAGGCTTTTCAGAGCTTGTTCCTCTCCTAGATAATATTTACCCAGAAGAAATAAAAATGGCAACCAAAAGCTTGAAGCAACATATCAAATGCCTTCTGGAGAATTTGAACCCCCATCTCCTCAATATGCGATATATATGATTACAAACAGGTCGAGGTGATCTCCATGATCCACGAAGGCTTTCCCATCCTCGTTCGTAGACGTGTTCGATATTTACCAGGAATAAACGAAGATTTCAACCAAAAAAGTGTCTCGTAACATACCATATGTCTTGGGGGGGGGATTCAAACCTCCACCTCCTCAATATACCTATTACAGTATCGCTTTGAAAAGGTTGAGGTGATTTCCAAGATCCACGAAGGTTTTCCAACACTCATTCCTATCCGGTAGATGTGTTCAATATCCCAGGAAACAAAACATAAAAGCAGATGTCACACAATGTATGCCCCGTCTCCTCGATATGCAACATATATTATCAAACAGGTCGAGGTGATCCCCATGATCCACGAAGGCTTTTCAATACTCGTTCCTATCCGGTAGACGTGTTCAATATCCCAGGAAGGAATAAAAAAATTTGAATCAACAAAAAGAAGTGACGGGGCAACCCATGCCTTTGGGAGGATTTGAACCCCCACCTCCTCAGTACAACGGCAGCATTCAAGTAAATTGTCAAGGTAATCCCCAGGATCCACAAAGGCTTTTCTATCCTTCTTTCCGTTTAGGATAGATCATAGATGTGCTCAATACTCACCAGGAAGTAAAAAACACCCTCTATCCAGAAGCATGCCTTCGGGGGGATTCAAACCTCCACCTCCTTGATATGTGGAAGAATTCCATCAATAGGTCAAGGCGATCCCAATGATCCACAAAGGCTTTTCATAACTCGTCCCTGTTGATAAAAGAAATCTAAACAAAAAGGCTCAGATTGCCCATGCCTTCGGAGGGATTCGAACCCCCATCTCCTCAATATGTGATATATATAATTACAAACAGGTCGAGGTGATCCCCACAATCCACGAAGGCTTTCCATCCTCGTTCCCATCCGATAGACGTGTTCTATATCCCAGGAAGGAATAAACCAAATTCCAACCAAAAAAAGAAGCTGCCAGGCAACATATGCCTTTGAGGGGATTCGAACCCCCGTCTCCTCCAATGACAAGAATAGCAGATCAAGGCGATCCCAATGATCTACAAAGGCTTTCCAGAACTCGTCCCTGTCGATAAAAGAAATCTAAACAAAAAGGCTCAGACTACCCATGCCTTCGGGAGGATTCGAAACCCCGTCTCCTCGATATACACATTATGATCTAAGACCAACAAGTCGAGGGGATCCCCATGATCCACAAAGGCTTTTCAATGCTCGTTCCTATCCGGTAGTCGTGTTCAATATCCCAGGAAGGAAATAAAAAATTCAACCAAAAAAAGAAACCACCAAGTACAATATGCCTTCCGGAGGATTCGAACCCCCATCTCCTCAGTATATAATGTATCCTAGCGAACAGATCGAGGCGATCCCGATGATCCACAAAGGCTTCCTCTCCCCATCCCCATTCTCACCCCCAAGCAACTACAAGTAGTATGATAGTACCACCCGCTTCGGATTCAACCCCGGCCATCAAATCCCCTCTCCCATCACAACCCAACCCACCAACCAACCCAGCCCGCGGCACCGGTACGCATCAACCACTCATCAACCTCCCAAATGGCAATCACGCGCCATCCCCAGCCGAACCGCAAAGCCAAGCCCCGGCGTCGATCTTGTGCTGTCGTCGCGTAGGTACACAGGCCTGTGATTGCGAGGGCGACGATCGATCGAAATCGAAAAGAGATCGGGGAGGCGGTGAGGGAGGGCGCGGGCAGGTGATTAAATTTATCGCTCTCTCGCGTGGAAAGAGCATGAAGAGAAGAGAAGAAGGAAGGGTTCGAGACGCGTGAAAAGCACAAGTTGAAAAGAAGACAAAACTCTCGAGTTGCAAATTCGGAACGCGTGAAAAGCATGAGTTGAAAAGAGCGAGGATTCGAAACGCGTGAAATCGAAAGGCGCGAGCGTGAATTTCAAGAAAGAATTCTGCGAGGATTCGCGAGTCGGACCATGTTGCAAATTCGGAACGGCGGGCGCCGGGAACGCGTGAAAAGCATGAGTTGAAAGAACTGCGAGGATTCACGAGCGTGAAAAGAAGACTGCAAGGGTTCGAAAATAATCCGAAACGCGTGGAATTCCAATTTCATGCTTTAGCCTTTTGAGAAGAGGAAGAAAGAAAGCCGCGTCCATGAACTGAAGAACGTGCGTCTAAATAAGCGAAACGAACGAAGATTCTCTTGTCTCCATCCCAATCTTGTATTTGTCCAGTCTCGGATCAATAACTGACTCGAGCAAGGGCCAGTAAATCAACCTTTCAGGCGTGAAAAGAAGAGAAGACTCTTCCAATTCGAGAAGAAGACTTCACGAGGATTCGAATTTCGAAGACGCGTGAAATTAAAGGCCTAGGCATAAACGAAAAATTCTCCATCCTTGTAATGATGTCTCGCTCAACCTTCCATTCCGAGTCCCTCCTCCATTCTTCTTTTGTTATTTCAAGTCGTCGTATTTGTCCAGTCTCAGTCTCAGATCAATAAACGACTCGGACTCGGAACAAGAGCACCGCCTGGACGTCACGGTGTCTTGTTCTCAAAGAGGACTCGGGCGGGCCGGCGGGCGCGTAAGTACATGTACTAGTCATTGACTTGACGCCAACAAAAACTAGTCCTTTCTTACACGAAAACTCAGTTCCTCAACCGCAACGAAATAACAGGGGCGGGCGCTCAGCGCTCAGCACTTACAAGCCCAACGGCACATATTTCGTTTACCGCCTACAAAAATCGAGTCCTTTCTTTACAGCGCCCCCAAAAAAACCCCAAACAACCCCAACGAAATAAAACGACCCCAACCAATTGCTATCTATCCTTGCAACTTACGTGGCTATAGACATAGACACGCGAAGTCCCAATCGCAATCCCACTGACGATGCAGATTCTTCAATTCGTTTTGATTCGACGTGGATGTATGCTACTATGATACGTATGATATATAGATAATGTCTGTTCTTGTTCTGTTCTTTGGTCTGCGAGCGTGCGAGCATGTTCTGTTCTGTTCTGCGAGCGTGCGAGCACGTTCTGTTCTGTGCGTGCGATAGCGAGTTCGGTAGTAAGCGTGCAGGAGGGAGGAGTATATACAGTAGGCGGTACCGGTAGGTAGGTGGGGATAGAATACAGTGCGTGTGAGTGGGTTGTTCAAAGCTTTTCGGGTGGGTTCAGGTGGGTAGGGTGGGGAGGTGCGTAGGCAGGAGGAAGGGTCGGTAGATGGGGCGGGCGGGGCGGGGGCCTGCGTACGCGGGGTGTAGGGGGCGGGTGCGAGATGGGCGGGTTGGCGGAGAGGTTGCGTGTGCGGGTTTGTGCAGAAGGAGGCGGGGCAGGCGGGTGGTCGTGCGAGGGCGAGTTTGGGCGGGGTCGGGGCGGGCGGGCGAGTCTGGGCGGAGCGGGTGTGGTGGGGATCCGTACAGACAACGGCAGCAGCGGGGCAGATGGGTGCGGGGCGGATCTCGGCCCATCCCCAGAGACACGCGCGCGGGCCGGAAAAAAATCGGATCGGGCGGAAAAACCGCCGCTGCACTCAGAGGTTAGAGCAGCTTGTCCGTGCGCCAGTACGCATAGTCTTGTCCTAGGCCGCCCCCACTCAGACCGTTGATGCCGTTTATACTCCCGCCCCCGCTTAAGCCTGGCCCTAAGCCGCTGCTGCTTAGCCCCGGACCCAAGCTACTCAAGCCCAAGCCGTCCATCCCGCTCAGCGCGCGCGGGGCGCTGCCGTACGTGGCCATGTGCGGTGAGCCGGAGGGGTAGTCTCGATTTGACGGCGAGCCTGCCCCGGCGCCGTATGTAGATTGCGGCGACCCAGCCCCACCGTAGGTATCCCTGGGTACCGGCGGCGACCCCGCGCCACCCCCGCCCCCGCCACCACCGTACGCAGACGGCGGCGAGGCGCCGCTGGAGTACGCCGGCGCGGGTGAGTACGCGGGTACGGGGCTGTTGCTGTTGCTGTTTGAGTGCGCGTTCCCATTCGCGGGGGGATGTGGGTAGCGCGTGGGCGGGGAGTACGTCGCTGGGTGTTGGGCGTAGTACCCGTCGGCGCTATTACTATGCGAGGCATGGGAGGTATTATGGGACGCATGGGACGCCATGCCCATCCCGCTCGGTATGGAGTGCGCCTTCCGCAGGCCCAGGCCATTCGCAATGGGTGCCGGGCCGGCGTTGTCGTCGTACGGCGGGTAGTACGCCGCATGGGCCATGCGGGGGGAGTCGTACGCCGCATACGACCCGGAGGCGGAGGACGACGACGAGGCGGGCGGGTAGGGATACGACTGCGTGCGGACGTGGTGGTACGGGCCGTACCCGCCGGCGTACGGATGTGGATGCGAATTGCCGTAGAGCGAGGACGAGGCGTACGGCGGGGCGGTCGGCGGAGGATAGCGGGAGGCGTCGGGCAGCGGCGGGGGGGTCTCGGCGTCGGGGCTGCTGCTGTCCGGCTCGTCGGCCGCGGCATTCGACGCAGGGGGCCGGCGCTTGCGGGTGTTGTTCGGGCGGCGGCGGTAGACGTAGTCGGGGTACTTGCTGTTGAACGTCTCCTTGAGCTGCTTCGCCTGGGTCAGGTAGAACTGCTTGTCTGCCTGTTGCTCATTAGACATGTATAGAATGCGAAACAACACACACAGGCAGCATGGCCTTCCACTCCTGGGACAGGATCTTGGAGATGTCGCCCGTGCGCATGGACTGGTTCTCCGCGCTGACCTGGGGCCGGCGGCGGCGGGCAAAGATCATGAAGGCGTTCATCGGGCGCTTCGGGGACCCGTCCGCATTGAGGGTCTGGCTCGTGAGCGCATTGAGGGCGGCGTCGTCGTCCTGCTCCGGGTCGCTGTTCGGGCTGTTGGCGTGGTACTGCATGGTGGCAGAATGTGCTGCATCTTTGGCGAGATCACACTCTTCTTAAACACGGCGCGGAAGATGTCATCGGGCTCGTCTCTTTAGGGGACATCCCCATCCAGAGACACCCCCTTGGCCCCTGACAACCCATCAAAAATGATCCTCGCCAGATCACCCAGATCTGGCGGCGGTGCCAGAACCCCCTCCGCGCAGGACGTAACCCCACTCTCGTAATTTGAACACCGGTTTTCTCCGTCGCTTGCGTTTCCATCCCTTCTCGTAAAGTGTTTCATGAGCCCTTTTTGCGCCCGCGCGTCCTTCCCTCCGCGCTTCTTTCTTTCTGGCTGCCCTTCTCTTCGCCAACGTACTTACCTCCCCGAGCAGCGAATAAGCTCATCCTCATACACCTAATTACTTCCCTCAAGGCACATGAACTCCCGTCTCCCCTCCCCAAATCTCGTGGCGCCGCTCTCTTCATATGCGTACTCGCTCCCGCCTCGCACCCCGCCTTCTCATCCTTTCTCTTTCTCCTCGTTCTTCCTTTTTCACCTTCGCCGCCCCTTCCTTATTCTTCGCCCCTTCCCCTTCCTCTTCTCGCGTTCCTAGTCTAACGTGGTCGCCACGCGACTATTACGTTACACTTGCTCGTTCCTTCTTCCTTCTTACCTTCTTGCCTTCCTGAGTTCCTTGTTTCCTTGTTTCCTGCGGACGGACGGAGGAGGAGGGTCGACGCTCCTCCTTCCTTCCACTGCACGTTTGAAAAAAAAAGAATGAGGCGCGCGCCCCTTCGTGAACGTAAACGCTCGTCTTCCTATTTTTATTTTCGTTTTTTGTCTTCGTCTTCGGACTCGTAGCTGTCCTCCATCTTGACATTTACCAGTCATTTACCTCCCGCCCGCCCGCCGATCATACACATCTATCTTATCCTTATCCCTCATTACCCTTAATTATCCTAATTTTGATTCCGTGCGGCGGTGCATCATTCAACGCTCAACCAACATCCAAGATAATCCCGAACTTTGGGCTTGTCGCAATGCTACCACATCGCGTTCGTCGTAGGCATAGGCGTGCGTGGTGCGAATCTTCCCTGCATGGCGGTAAACATAAATTGCTCCGTGTATTCGTTTTCGTTTCTCGCCCTCTGTATGTGCTGTTAGCGGTGGGACCCAGGGTATGGATGGGTGTCCTCAAAAATCCCAATACTGTGCCGATCACCAAGCGTTTATTCGATTCTGATTCCGTGCG